AGCAGCAAGCATCCTATCCTGTGCGAATGGACTTTATATCATATTTCAAGCAGATCCCCATTATACTCTCCCGAAAGGGTTTTTTACTATTTTAAGGCCTAAAGACTTCTGCCGCTGGTTCACCACCTTTGACGCCTACTACATCTGCTGCAATATTTACAAAAACTGCAGCGGCGGCGCGACCTTTGAGTGAACAAGAACCGAACATGTGCCCCCAATACTGTTAAAGAAACTGACCTGAAAGCTCAGATCGGAGAGAACGAGAGGATGGGACTGCCACACGGAGACAGTGAATCATTGTCTCTGCTGTCGTTTGAGGAATATAGATGGGAGATGTAAAATACTTTTAGCATCAAAAAAATTAACCTTTCCACCAAACCCTCCTGTGCACATGGCGATATCGTGAAAAATATCTAAAAATTGTGCTGCAGTGGAGATAGAAAAGAAGGCACTTTGACCTTTTGAAAGTTTGAATAGGCCGCGTCAGCTGTCTATCTCGGATTTCAGAAAAATGAGCAGACTGGCTAACAGAGGTGTAAGGAAATTTCGGCGAGCAAAATCTCACCGAGAAATGGGACGGAAGTGGTGTGGGGTCGAAATAAATACTTGTCAGTGAAAGGCCAAAACAGCGTGCGTACGTCATGTGCTTCCGCGGCCTCCTTACCGGTGGCAAGACTTAAAAATCTACGGGTTTACGCAAACAAACATCCATTTTCATATGAAGTCTGTGGACTCCGTCGTTGTGACAGAACTGCGATGATAACCGACCTTTTCCATGCTTCAAGCGCTACTGCCACGACTTCGCAAGCAGCCCAAAGGCTCTCAGACCAAAACTTAGCCTGAAACTGTTCCTCAAGGTAGAGAGACCAATTGTTTCCGACTTCACGGCTGGGAGCTGACTGTAACGTTTATAATGATTATGACTTTGGCATAAGTTAGATTTTAGAGAGGAAGACTTGCGTGGCATCGGCCCTGTTCGTTCTTTCCAAGAGCAATCTTGATCAGGCCACTATATGTCGATAGGACTAGTTTTGCGATCGTAAGATCGTGTTCTGTGAATGGCTGTGACTCTTGGGGTTGTTGCCGTCAAAACTGCCGTTACACCATCGATCTATAGCTGACCACATCCCTCTCAGTTACCGAACCCTGTACACATGCGGGCATTTAAGTCACAAAAGACAATGAACTTGTTCGCGTTCTGCACCACCACAAGGAAGGCGTTCATTTATTCGTAGAATTTACCCTTACATCGGCAGGACTCGTCACTGGCAGGTGCATTTGCTGACGTTTGTTGAGAATTTCTTCGCCTGAAGTGGCAACCTCGCTGTCAAGTGACAGATCCATGTTTCCCTACAGCTGGAAGGAAACTACCTTATGATATCATTTTTGTCAGCTGTGACTTCGACCTCTCGCTTCACTGCCTCTGGACCTCCGTTCCCGGAGGCGTATTCGCACCTCTTTCTTACGTCGGCCTTATTTGGGTCTGGCTGAGAGTCGTGAGAGAGCGCGCAGTCAGGACTGTCCTCCCTTCTGGCCACTGGGTTGTCCACGGGATAGCGGATACATGCCGCCGCTCCGGTGCCCCGTTTTTCGGTGTCTGCCTGTCAGTCGACGACTGCGTCATCCGAGCTGTTAACGCACGATCAGCCTTCAGCCTTAATCTGAGGCGTCCCTTGTCCAGCTGCGCTGAGTCATGACAACGCCCAAGAGCAGGCGCCATCCAGCACGGATAGCCAGGCGATACCGGTCGACCTTGGCCTTTCCTAATCATGTGCTATAAGTCAGCTCGTAGGCCAACTAGTCACACGCCAAACGCGTCAGTGACACAGCCAATCACTTGCTTGGGCTGATACGGACCTGTCAACGCACACCCGGAGCTCGCGTGCTCCCGCACGGACACCTTAGTGCCCTGATCCACAGACCAACTGCCAACTCACATCAATCTACCCCGTGTGCAGAAGACATTTACCGGATCTCTTAACTCTCTGGTTTCTGCCCTTAGAAAGGACGGAGTTCACTGTGTGCGGCTACACTAGATCCGATACCGCTGGCCCGCACACAGGCTGACAGAGATAGAAAGTCACCTACGTAAGGGTGTGGCAGCCAAGGATGTGAGATCAACTTAAACCACACGCAATAATTTCGTTCCGTCTAATGTCAGAAGTCTGGGAGCTGTGAGAATCGTCCTATTCTGTACATAGGGCGGGTTGCCGAGAGTAGGCTGTTTGCTTGTGCCAGAGAAAAGCGCCCGTTCGGGAGAGCGTCAGTGGCGGTGTCTTGTTTACGCGGAAGTGCGTGTCTGTGTTAGCAGGAGGGGAGTGACTGGCTGAGTGTTGGTCGTGTGATTGGACGGATTAGGGGAGGAATAGGGATTAAGCGTACCCAAAGGAGCCCATGGTTATCAAGCCAGGCCGTCCGACGCGCGTGAGGCGATGAAAGTTGGTGAGGGCAGCCAGGAGTCACTGCAGCTGGACAGATGTGCTTGTCGCTTCCAGCAGCCACAGTCAGCCGTGTCGGTCGCTTGCATCGACATTTGCTCAGGGCACATTTTCTAGCAGCTTGTCATGCAAGGGTTTAGGATTGTCTCCTTAAAGAGGACTGCGAAGGCGTAGCAGGTGGCAACAGATCACAGCTGGTTTGGTGCAGAAGCAACCCAAATGGGTATGGGCAGCCTTTTAACTCTTTAGAGAGGAGAGAGATGTGAATGAAACGAATGAATTTACCCTACCTAGAGACAAGAACAGGGGATACCATCGGCTGGTTCATCCCGCCGATCAATCGCGGTTATCGGGGTGTATGTGCTGCGCGGACAACGGCTTAATGAATCCGTATACGAAATGAAGATGCCAGAGACGTGGTGATCTAGAAACAAAACAAACCCCATAAACGTTCTCGTTGTGACCGCATATCCACCAGAGTGGACAGGTCTCCTAGGAAAATCGATTTTCCCGGCATCAGCATGCAACCGCATCGCGAATTTCACGCCCATGATACCCGAGTGTCCCACACACCTCACAAGCTGCTGAGATTAGTACTGATCGTCTTCTTCGTCAAAATGTTGACGGATGGCATCTTAATTACAAAATGCATGCTTACATGTGTGACCAAATTAGCTGACGTGATCTTCGAATGAGTTTGGACTTCCGTGGCTCTGCGGGGACTAAAATGACGCCGGAGAAACTGGCCGACGGTTGCTAGCACTAACACATGTGCATCAGTTGGCCGTTCGACAGTTGCACCCAAATTTGGGGATAGCAAGCCATTCCGCGCAGATGGAACTCATCTTCAACGCTGAAGCCATTGACAGTGATACGAAATTACGCATTTATGTATGAGCCGGAAAATGAAAAAACGACAAAGACGAGGCCTTCGTCAGATTCTGTTGCTTTTCCAAAATGCACAAACATGGCTGCCCCATCGTGCCTATCAAATTACTCAAAGCCACTCCAAGTTGTGGACTGGCAAAGCGGTTATTTTGGCGCCTCATATTTCCGACTGCGGATTCGAGCACCACAGTCAGGTCGCCAATGCAAGTCTCGGAGGAACTTAAGGGGGCAAGTCTCTTGAGAAATTCAGTCATAGTACAGTACATTCAAGAGGTCCTTAGAGCATATTACTATCCGTGAGACATTGTCAATCGGTGCATGCGCAGCGGCTCGATTGATGAACGTACCGTAACCGCTACAATCAGGTGGACCTCTGGTTAACAGGGAAAGAAGCCAGAGAGCGATTTATGTTGCACGGAATTCACAGCTGCCATCACTGACGGCAGTTATTTCTTGGTGAGGCCAGGGGGTACACTGACAGCCTCAAAACGCGACC